CCCCCCCCCCCCCCCCCCCCTATCAAAACCCATGGAGGGCCAACTGCATCGGGGTCCTTGAGAAATAACACTGTACGCGAACGACAGGCTTACCTCCGACTCGATGGAAACACCCAGCTGGACTACGGCACACGACTGCATCTGCTCGTTGGTAGGCCACCCGGTTCGAAACACGCCCGACGGCTTGCTCGCCGCTAGCGCTCCCAGCACCTCCCTGGCGTGGGGAGCGGAGGACGTTAGGGGTGATTGGAGATCGGACAAATACTGGTGTTGTCGACGGCCAGGTACCACAGGTGGACATTCGTTTCTTGTTGTTTCCACATTAATCACCGTTCCTATCCTCCGCTGAGTACGTTATAATATTCGTACTGACGCAGACGCCTTCCGTTGTCACGAGCAACTAGGAACACCTTTCTAGATGGACAAAAGCACTAGAAACAGAACCAGATAATCGTCAAAACGCGGTAATAGCATAGCACAGTGGGAACAAGCACCGCCAACAAAACCGAGGGAGGTCGACCACCCGGGGTCGAAGGCATGGATGGTTGGGCGCAATCAACGGTTGGCTACTTACCAAATGCTCGAAGATACTTCACCAATGCCGAGGGCTCCAGTGGCAGAGGTAGGCACGCTGAAAACCGCCGCTTCCTTACCAACGCTCAAAGTCTCTAATGAGACAGGCGAGCACGCTCAGAACGGTAGGTTACTTACCAATGCTCGAAGGCTCCAGTGGTAGCGCTAGGCACGCTGAAGTAGAGCACGGCGGTTTGCCCCGGCGGGACGGGAGAGGTTGGCAGCAGGAAGAACACCAACTCGTCTACCTGGGGAAGAGAGCACGTAAGGTGTCGGGGCATTGCAAGTAGTCAAGACCTAACGAAGGGCGAGAGTTGAAAAGGTGTCAAGCGTGTACCTTGAAGGACGACTCTCTCTTTCCCTGACTCTTTCTCCCCCTCTCTTCTATGTCTCTCTCGCCCTTAGCCCCCTCTTCCCTCTCTCTCTCTCTCTCTCTGTCTGTCTCCCTCTCTGTCTCTCTCTCTCTCTCTCTCTTCCCTCTATCTCTCTCTCCCTTTCCCTTCTCTCTGTCTGTCTGCCTGTCTGTCCCTGTCTGTCTCTCTCTGTCTCTCTCTCCGCGCAGAGTTTAATCATCTGTGCGACCCCGCAGATAGATGTCGCGGCTTCGTTTAACCAGCAGACAAGCACCGTGACGCAATGGACACCTGTTTCAGACAGGGCTAAGACTCCTTACCTCTCGGGGGTTGACTATTTCAGCCACGCACTTGGATGAATCTATCGCCCTGCCAACGAGACAAAAGCAGAGGAAGGCGTTTGGGGTGGTGATGATGAGCATGTCGGGGGTGCTGGACCGTAGATAGGCCCGATTGTTCATCGTCAAGCTCATGACTACGAAGGGGCGGGGGAGCGTACCCTTACGTTTTGCATGCTTTAGCGGTTAGACCACTCACCACGCGTCCTCGAGAGGACGGAGCATTGTTCCCACAGGACTGATCACCGATGGCCAATCGTTCCTTTCTACTTCGCCAAGGTGCCTCGACATGGTCTTGCTTAGTCTATCTATCCTATCGGTATCACTTCCCCACTTCCAACCCACTTCCTATGGCCCAGTATAGCTACGAAGGGGGGGGCATGCTGAATCGCACTATTTACAATACATAGTACCCGTACTTAAGAACTTGGCAGCGAAGAACTTCATGCTCAACAAAAGGTTGTTCTTAAGCACGGGTGCTACGGTCCGTGCACAACGATTTGTCCAATAATTTCTCATGCACAAAGTGCAACTTTTCTCTGCACACAGGTGGTTGTTCGAAAATCTGAAAGTACCGGCAAACGCCCTGTTTACAGGCGCAGGGCGTGACGGAGATTTTTTTTTTTTCCTTGACTTTTTACTTCGAAAAACCGGAAAAACTTGTTTCGTTTACAGGGGGTGGAGCTTATTGCCGATTCACAAAAACTCAACGGATTTGGACAGATCTCGGAATTCCGCAGATGGCTATTTTCAAACTTTTTCAAACTCTTGGAATTGAAGGAGATATCCAGGAAAAACTAGATCTAGAGGGTCAAGTTGTTTCGTTTACAGCACAGTAACTAACCAACCGATTCCAAAATAAACAGCGGCAAACGATTCCTCTCATCAGTCTCTAGATGGGTATTTTTTGTTTTTCCCGGGAAAACTCTGGCTCTCGAGATATTCCACATTTTGTCGTGCCGTGCTATCGGAGATTTTTTTGCTGTTGGGCAAGACGCTCCCACAACAAAGTGGCACACGTGGCGGCCCGAACAACACGAGACACACACGCAAGCAAGCAAGCACCATGGCACGGCCTAAGAAGAAGAAAATCGGCAAGCGCGGAGCCGATGGCCGGGCGGTTCCGAGGAAACCGATTCCGGCGCAGCAACATGATCTTCCGTCACGCGGCGCTGGTGATGCGCTCTCCGACGGCCACGACAGCGCCGATTTGATGGACGTGTAGTGTAGTGATCTCTTTATTTTCTTACGTGGATAGACTAACGTGCGGAGTGTGGAGATTCGTTCACGTGTGTGTATAAATTGGCGTGCTTGACCTTCGAGGGTGTTGTCGAGCAAGCGTGGTATAGATTAGTATCTGCACAAATGCAAACAGGGGGTGTCGTGGTGAATTTAAAGCAGGTGGTAGAGGGAAATAGGGCTCGTCGGGGACACGGTTCGGGGGTTCCGTGAATGAATAAGGGGTATGTCGTGATTGTGGAGGCTCCGTGTATTATTTTTGCCAAATGTGTTGCATATCGCCAAAAAAAAAAAAAAACTCTGCAGCTATCGACGTGTCTCGACGAGGCGGTCACGACTATCGTTGTTTCACGTTCCAATTCTTTTTCCAAACGAAGTTATCGCACAAAACGTAATTGGACAAATTGTTGTGCACGGACTATACAATATCAGCACACAAAAAACGCTTCTCTATATTTCACTCGGGGGGCGAATTGTCGCACATATGTTTCCAAGCAGCATTGACATCATTCCCCGCGCAGAAGAATGCACCTTGTTTTTTCAAACGTGGAGGGGCTCACAGTTTCGAGGGCCTCAAGGTGTTGGCGGTTCCAAGTCTACTTGGCCCATTCTGACATACTTCTTCAAAGCCCTTAGGAATCCTTACGCACAGCGCAGAGGAATCTTCAAAAAAATGTTCACTGCGACGCCGTCACTACAGACCTGAACTCTGGGATCACTGGGCGGCCAGGCACAATTATTCCGAAAGGCACGGCTGGAGCGACCGACATGGTCCTCGTCCACTCGACCTCACGTGCGGTGCGACCTAGATGATGTCGGATACGACTGTGGACGAGCGAAGCGATCACAGCGGGGGACGGGGGCGAACAAGTACGGGCATGCACGTTTTCATCGATCGTGAGGAACAATCGACGCCTCGTTTCTCAGTTGCTCGATAGTACTACTACTGTTAGAGGGCAAGCAACGCTGCAGGAGGCAGACAAGAGAACGAATAAAAAACAGAGACTCGTCATACTTCTGCTGTTGTACCAGGGATGAGCGGTTGGCGTACGACTGTCATGTGCACAAAGCTCGTGTACAAATCTATGTAGATGTAGTCTAGACTACACAATTTAAAAACTCCCGAGTCCAACTTCACCCAGGTCGTGTTCGGCCCCCTTCGCTGTTGGATACAGAACCGGCCCGCACTTAAGAATATGGACGTTAAGAATTTGAGCCTCAAAAAATCCAATTTTTAAGAATTTGCCCGTAAGAACACGTGCTCAGATCGGACCTGCTGTTAAGAATAAGAACCTCCAGTGAGGTGTACGACTGGTGCTACAGATAAGAACATACTACATGACGCGGCGGTGGCGAGAGAAGAACATACACAGATGGAGGAGGAGGGGGGGGGGGAGGCGTTCCCAGGTTTGGTAGTTGGTACCTACCTAGACTATCCCTTTTTAGATTTTTTTTTGAGGTGTGGGTCTGCTGTACATACACGTCGTGCCCCTGTGCCAGCGAGTTTTTTTAATTCACCACGCAACGTGGTGCAGCGTGCCACGAGTTGCCTGCCGTGTAGGGGGATCATGTCCCTGTCCAACCCCTTATCCCATGGGTTGTTGAAGGACCTTGGCAAACTCTCGGAGTTGAAACAACGAGGACTGATTCTTGACCGTCACTTCGAGACGATAAAGGCACATGTGAAGGCGGGCAACTCCGTTGCGAAGGAGCGATGGGACGCAATCGAGAACGCATGGGGGCTGAAGCAGACGGGTGTCTTCAACGAAGAAGAGTGGATCACGCAGATTGATGGAGAGGCCCAGGGTATTACCAGCAGCACCCGTCCGTCGTTTTTAACGCCACAAGATGCGGGCGGCGCGCGAGGTGCACCGTCTTCGCACCCACCGCCTGCTACTGCTGCGGCTGCCGGGAAGAGAAAGGTCGCAGATCGGGGGAAGCAAGCCAGGGATCGAGCTGCCCAAGGTGTTCTAGGTGGCAATCATCAACGCGTTCGCTCGTGGCAGCGGAAAACCGGTGAGTTAAGTCATCAGACGAACTCTGTTGCTGTGATGATGTACATATATACAGCAGTCGTACGGCGGTCCAGCAGCTGTATGTAGTGTAAATACAGCAGGAGTGCTACTGCTGCTGCTGTTGTTTAAAAAAAAACGCGGTGGTGATGAAATGAAAAAGACGAGAGAAAAACTACTCTGTCACAGGTTGGTGTAAACGACTGACTTTCAGCATGGCGTACATGTAGGTGTACAACTTTTTCAAACATTCTCCGTTTGCCTCAAGTTCTTGAGGAAGGCAAGGACGGTACAGTAGATACAATGGCGAAAAAGAACGCGTACACGAGCGCCGTCCCAACCGTATTTTGTAAAAAAAAATTTGCTGCACCGTGATACAAACACACGAGAGACGGTCATGTAATCATCCCTTGCCCCATCTGCATAGATAGATATATTTTGCCATCGACATCCACGCAATTTCAGGTCCACAGCTCGTTGAATCACCTGCACCTCAATTCCGCCCTTCTCCTACCGCGCCGTGCAGATTGAGCGGACTCGCGGTGGTGTCACAGAGCATGTGTCCGGTATCAACTTCGCACCTCCGGCCCCGGAGCGGCGCATTCCGTGCCCTCACTGTCCCATGACCTTCGTGAACGAGCAAGGACTTGGGATCCACGTGAAAACACAGCACAGCAATGCAAACATGTCCAACGGCTTGCGGCTGCAGCGGATGCTAGGGAAGACTCCCAAAGGGTATGTTCAGCCGTGGGGAGAAGCCGGGCCTGGACGTTGTTGGCACGTGAAGGTCGATGGTGCGACGGGGGCGGCTTCGTTCGTCCTCCAACGGAAGCGCTTCCGCGATCTCGACTTGGAAAGCGACGGCTTTACGGACCGCAAAGTCAAGGAGACTCGTGGAGCTGTGAAGCGCAAGCGATACGATTTCAGGTTCAAAGCCCATGTTGTGACCCAGCTGCGCCTCCTCCAGGAAGACGCCGCAGACCTCTTCAAGGAGGAGCAGCTCACGCCTCTCCAGTACTTAGAGGACCGCCTCAAGGTTAACTACAGCCTAATCGTGAAGTGGGCTCAGGACGACGCCAATATAGTCCAATCGGCAGCAGATGACGTGAAGAAGACCCTCCTTGCCAAACAGCAGCCAAAGCGGTGGTTTCCTGAGGAAGAGAAGAAGCTGTACAATATGTTCTTGGCGCGGCGGAGGAGGAAGCTGAAGGTGTCGACCCTGTGGCTGACGGTCACGTT